AGAAATCCCGTCATTCAAGAAGTGGTTAATAAATTACTTCAGTGATGTGAACTCTATCAAGATATTTTCGATGACTGTGGTTTTATATCTATCCTCATGTATTTTTCTATTTTACTATTTACCTCTGCATATTCACCCTTCATGGGCGGATAAAGCCCACTCTTGACTTGACTAGTGGTGCGCATTTCCTCGGACCCCTGCTGGGGATCGAACCCATGACCACTGGTGGCTTGCACCACTCGCCCGCAGCTTATGCCACTGAGCCATGGGGAAAGATAGCCGAGGGAAGGTGCACCAATGACGAGCCCTAATAAGGCGAAGCGATCGTTTGGTGCTTTTCCGGATAGGTAGTTGACTTTCTGGATTGTAATCTAATTACAACGAACAGAATAGAACATAAATACGATTAAAGATGTGGCCAATGTAACTAAAACTAGCCTGACTCAAGGACTCGGCTCTCATGAGAAGCAGTGAGCCATCGCAAATGATAAGCGTGATGAAGTTAGAAGTAATGGGAAGGAGGCTAATACCCCGATGATTTTCGCACAAAGACCGTTGACCCTTTGTGACAGGGACAACAAATGACAGTCGACAGTCTGAACGCACCGCTTCAGTGTTATAAATAGAGCTGAACAAAGCGGCAAGTTATGCTAACAAAGAGTCGATCCCATCAATCAGCGAAGATGGAGGAAAGTCGCCGAGTCCATGAGCCTTGTTTTCTTTCGTAACTGAGAACTCATGTCGAATCTCTCACAAAGTGGGAGGTGTGACATCAACTCCCCAGATAAATTGGCAGACAATAGTGTCGCAGCAGGCCTGCTGAACTACACTTCAGTGTTCAACCCGAAAGGCTGGTCGACGAAACTGAGAATGGATCAACTGTCCTTGATATGGCGTGAAGGTTTGCGTACCTCGTCGACCCATTGAGCTATACTGGGTGGGGCCCTTGGACCTCTTAAGAGCTACTCCTACCAGGTTGGTCGATGGTTAGAGGTCAGACGAACTCAATCTCCTGGTCCTCCAGACTGAGGGTTTGAAACGGGATGACGTCCATTTCTATAAAACTAAATAATCGCCACCTCCCCGCTGCTTTGCGGACAGGCTTTTGAGCTAAAGCCTTTGGTGAAGAATTCTAATCATCCTCCTGTCTAGGTCTGGGCGACCTGACCTTACCTCTGCCCTCGTGCAACCATGACTACTTCTTCAAAATTCTACTATATCTTACCTCGGTCGTCGCGCGAATTATCAAGGGTTACCTTATCTTCCGCATAAAGCAGGGCGTCTCCCTTGTTTTCCTTCCAACTGTTTCGCTCACTCCCCTCTTAGATCCGATTACTAACCTTCTTTGATATCATCGGTAATTCTACTGGAGTCACACTATTTGCAGCTACCTTCCCACACCGGACACCAATCACCAACAGCTCTTTATAAGGCCATACTGTCCCGTTTCCCTGGTGGTGTTCAACGTTCGTACGCTAAGATAAATAGGTCAACAGGCCACACTAGCACGCACGTTAGACACGCTGGTTATTGACGTGTGTTGTGCTTCCGAAACTAAGATCAATGACCATCATAGGGTTGTTGAATCAACTGCGCCCGGTTTGTCTTCTCGCTATTGGTTGCACGCATCCTGAGACGCTGATGCGGTAACCATTGACCAAGCTGGATTGAGCATTGTTCTCAGCTCCAAGACTGAGTCGTCGTCGGTTGATTGGATTCTGTTGAACAGCCATTTGTGTGCAGCCCGTTTGACGACATCGACTAAGGTTGATTCATGAAGTAGCACCAGACGCTGTTTGTTTGTGCTTTCTGCAGCAGGGATGCTGCGAAGGACAACTTCCACCACAAATTGAACACGCTACTACGCAGTATTACCAGTTCAGATGGTTCATGCAGGGGATATGAATGCGCAAGTAGGTCGTCTAAGCTCTTCAAAAGCTCTGCTAGGTGGCAAGTATGGACTTAATTCCGAACCGACGGACAACAGCGAGAGACTATTACAGCTGTCGGCGAAGCGCCAGCTGTCTCTTAGTAGCACCGCTTTTAGACATAATGGGCGTCGAAGTGACACTTAGCGTCTTCCTGTAGCTGACCACCGATGGACCCAAATATTTCAAGTTTCCATAAGTTACAGGTGGCGTGTTCCCATCTTGGACTGTCGCTCTTTCTGGAGTACTTGCGTCGACTCTGATCAGGCCTTGGTGTGCTGTCGTTTCTCCATGAACTTTACCCGGATGCGCATCAAGCATCTCCTCCTAGCGGAAACTGAGAAATTATCTCAGCCCTCCATCAGGTAAGGCTACCAGGATGTACTGCGTAGCGAACTTTCACTCTCTTGTCCTAATGACACTGACCTTCAAGGGAATAGGATCTCCACAGACATACACCATGCAGCAGCCTCCGCTTGCAGCATTGCCAATCGTCACCGCACTCGTCACTGGATATCCGAGAGGTCCATGAACCTGTTGGAATCCAGAAGAAAACTCCCGACCGGCTCTGAGCACAATGTTGCCAGACGGACTATCAGGCGCGTACTAAAGCGGAGCCTGCATGCTGACAAGGAACTCTGGTGGACCAGTCGGGCTCAAGAAATGGAGAAAGCAGTAGGCAATTATCGCGAGCTTCTCCAGCTAATCCACACCACTGGTCCCAGAAAAGCAGGCGTCAGTGAAACAATCAGGGGACGCGCGGGTACACTGATTCACAATAAGGAGCGCCATAGGGATCGTTGGTCGGGGCCCTTTCGAGAGCAGTTCAGTTGTGCCACTGCTTTTGGACCTCTTCCTACTCAGGTGTTGCAGGCTGAGCCATGGCCAGTTAGTCTAAAGTCTCCATCGAAGGCCGAGATCTGAAAAGCGATCACAGCCCTTAATCGTTTTCGTACTGTTGGCCCGGATTCCTTCCCACCCGAACTAGTCAAGGATGGTGGTGAGGTCCTCTGCAAAGCACTGACCTCCCTGTTCGAACAGGTCTGGCAGAGACCATCCTGGCTAACAGGAGTGAATCAAATATAGTAGCGATATACAAGATGGCCAATCACACAGACTGTGATAACCACAGGGGTACTAACCTAACGCCGCCGGTGACAAAATTACTGGCTTCAATTCTCATTCGCCGCCTCATTGTGGAGCGCGAATGACGGAGTATAAAAAGGGCAGACAGGCTTACGCACAGGACGTGGCTGTATAGACCACATAATCAGTTTGCGGCCGGTGCCAGAGCAGCGACACACGTAACGCAAGCCGAAAATAGCTGTGTTCCTGGACATCAAGAATGCGTTCGATTCTGTCGACCGGTGCATTCTGCTGAAAATACTTGCGCAGAAAGGTGGTCCTATGAAGTATGTGAATATTTTACGTGCTCCATACTTGAACACAACATGCCGCGTAAGAGTCAACGGTGATTTATCGGGTGTCTTTCCGACAACAAGTTGCGTTCACTAGGGTTGCAAAATTTCCCCATTTATGTTCAATTTCGTCGTGGACTGCATTATGGAGTGTTCCTTTGCGGCCGAACCTCAGGATGCAGCGGCTGAGGTGCTGCCTGGTGAAAGGTTACTTGATCTTGATTACGCGGACGATATTGTTCTACATTTTACGATGTTGAGGCGGTACAATCAACTCTGAATAACCTCTTTGGTGCGGTCTCATCATTTGGCACGCACTTTGCACCTTCGAAGTACAGTGCTGTTACAGGACCAATAGTCACTTGACGACGAGGAACTCGGGGCAGTTGATCACTTCACTTACCTTAACAGCTGCATCGGCAACAACTGTCGCACAGCAGCTGAAGTCAGTTCACGAATTGCAAAAGCTAGAAACGTCTTCATGAATCTGCGACACCTGTTATGTTAAAAAAGAGGTTCCCTCGTTCTAAATGGCTGTCTTTACAAGGCCACAGTGAGGGCCGTCCTGCTGTATGGAACCGAGACCTGGTCCCTCCGATCTGGGGACAAGCTGTGCCCTCAACTCTTTAGTCATCGTTGTCTGCGAAACATTGCTAGTGTCGGATGGCACCAGCGTGTCCGCAACAATGAAGTGCGCAGGTGAGTGCTAGGAAGTGATACCCATGCTAGTTTCTTAGAGCAACAGATAGTACTGAAAAAGTTGCGCTAGCTTGGGCATGTACTACGTATGCCTGGTCACCGCTTACAAAGGAGGGTATTGTTTTGGCTTTCATATGTAGGGTGACGCAAGGCTCGTGGTGGACAAAAGTTGACTTGGCAGAGGGAAATGAAGTCACTGACGACTAAACTCAGTGCTGTCGATCCGTCTCGCCTTCCAGGCTGGAGTCCACGTGACTCGCCTTGTGCTTGGCTCGAAACTTTGCAGGACCTGGTTCGCGGTCGCACCCGTGGCGGGTCTGCTGCCGTCTTCTAGTCGGACTGGTTGTTTAACGTGTGTTTGGTGCTGAGTTATCTGCGGGGTAATGGCTGAGTAGGACGCGTGGCAGTGAAAGCCGCAAGGAAGCTGTCTCGCCGATGCCACCTTGTCTCTGCACGATAGCCAGCTGTCTGTGATGACATGTTATTGACAAGGTGTAGGCGCCTTGGCTCCAAGTGTTTGTTTAAGACATCAATGTTGTACCGCAGATCCCCCCCTTCGTTCTGTATGTCACCGTCGTTGTACGGCAGCGCAGCATCAGTTTAAGTGGCTGATGTACTGCTGTTTATGATGATTATGTCTTGGCCATTATCTCACTGAGGGTTTTGTTGAACCTGCATTCCGGATGAGCTGAAGAAGTACTCTTCTGTTTCCAGTAATACCTGCTTTATCCATCTCACGGGCCGTTAGCCCATACTAAACTGTTCGCTGTGGTCACTAACTCTACTCTTCTGATTTCGGCATGTGACCAACTAACCATTTGTTTGATAGGCTGAGGAAGTACAGAAGGGCGATCTAAGAGTATATGTTGGTTATCAGACAGACGATCTAGTGATGAGTGATGCACGCCAAAACAAGTGATATTTACAGAGTAAAAAAAGATGCAATGAAACTCACGCAGTTTCTGACGTGAATTGTCATAGTAGGAGCGAAGGACAACGGATGCACCGAACAAAAGTAGAATGAAAGTTAAAAGTCCTGTTAAAACCAAGCAAGCCACACAAAACCTGTGTGTGTTGGTTCGACGCACAGGCCTCAGAACATTGTTTCCTCTCCGGTTGCATTTGTTTCCCATAGGAGACGGATCCAGCAAATTCTCCGTATCGCAGTGCATAATCAACGCCCACTGTAACGCAAAAGAATGATGTATGGCTCCAGTTGATTGCACAAAAATGGGCCAGCAGATAAAAGTTACCGAGTGCGATGAAGCGAAAGTAACTGGTAAAGTTGTCCAGGTAGACGCGTTTCAGGTTGTCTTCTAATGCTCATCTGGACAAGCAAGTCAAAGAAACAGTGAGTGTCCAAGTCTCTGACAGGAGTGGCTGTTTGAACAAACCTAGGTGTACACATGGAATTCATTGTAATTAACTCAATAAGGCAGCCGTCGAAATATAAAAGCTCTTACTGCAAACAACACCAGACAAGAAACATACACATTGATACACCAGTACTTTGTTCCAATGTTTCAGTGCCATAAAATCGCAATGGCCCCATGATAAGTAACAACAACAATGGAGAAAACATACCTAGCGTAAAATCTAGTTGCGTGAATCAAGGATTCAAGGTAAATGTGCCCACACCTAGTCAGCACGCACTGTCACATATAGCTGGCCGCCGTGTGAAGATAAGGCGGCATCAGCTAGGCATTTTTCATTCTGTATGCAATGCTCTGCGTTATGACCAACCGTGTCACATACTCAACGTTTTAACAGACACGTATTAAATAGGAAATCAGAATATGAAGTGACTATGTCATATACGTCCGGTTCTTCCGCTGGATTTGTGTCAGACGGAGCCGCGAATCAGCCGAAACGAAACATTCGTAGTATACTCAGAGTACATCCACAACAAAAAGCTTGATGCTTCCTTGAGAACACAGACATCCAGATTTTTCAAGCAACTATCAAGTTACACAATAAAATACGTACATGATTTCAGGTTTTGAATACAAACTAATTTTGGTAGGGTTTTATTGTGGCAACGTTTCGCCCTTGACACAAGAGCTTCTTCAGGCCAGGTGAATCGGTACAAAATTGGCTTAGCTTTTTATGGGAACGTAAGGTGAAGGTTGCAAGACATAACATTAACTATTGGATAATAGTGTTACAGGTCAATAAGTCCAGTGGCCATTCTAGTGAAACAACAAACATCGAGCGTTTCTCATTGATCCACGTCACCGGTCGTTCACATGTGAGGCATTCCTTTCTTGAAGCTGCTGATTCACGCTACGACCTGACTTCGTCCGCCGACACCTTTTCTGACTGACCGGGTTAACACAGCCAATAAAACCCTACCAAAACCGATTTGTATTCATAACCTTCTGAGATCATGAAATCCCAGTCGGTTCCAAGCATATTCCGAGATATTGAAAATACGCACATGTCCTGAAATATACTATAAACGTAATTTTCAGGCGGGCGTATCAGTGTTTCGATTGGATAGCATCTGATAGTTACTTGGAAACATGGAGTATAAGGAAGTTAGAACGTTGAACGTGCTTGCGGAAGCGTCGTGGCATTGTACCGAACTGTTATTAGGATGCAAGATCCAATGAGAACGCGCAGGTCGAGTCCACGCAAGATTCACCTACGCTTCTCTTGCGTTAGTCTCTAACATGCTCTCATGCGGACCCCATGTTCCGCACGCTTCCGCGTTCCTCGTGTTAGAATTCATGCATACCGCTAAACGTGAAAGCTACGTACATCGCCAATCTCAGCGTATAATCGAGGCTGCACGACCCGAGATTGTATTTAAGAGCATGTAGAAAATTTCCTGTACGACTCTATCGAATTAGGAAAAATCAAAAACATTTAATTGTGGATTGTCGGCGGTAGTGCCTGGTCAGTGAATCTTTTATCCTTGCTCGGTTAGAAATTTATATTGGTGTCTTTATTTCCGGGTATAGGATGCATTTTTTGCCTTATATGTGCACTGTTTCATAAAAGCACAAGTTTCCGAAATAATTGTGGATACGTGTTTTGAAAAACATCACAGAATCGACCTCTATTAGCCCTTCTGGTAGTGTATTCCATAAGTTTACGATTTTTCGTTCCATACAAAGTTGATGTGATACCCTATTTAGGCATGGGACGCTGAATTCGTAGCGTTATCTTCGAGTGTTGCAGGGTTCTCGCAGGTGAAATATTGGCCGCAGTATGGGGAATGATTCAGGTGTAGTTTTCGATGGGTCATAATAAGGTCAATTCGTACTCGCTGGAAGGATAGTGTGTAAAGTCCGATCCTTTCACGTTTTTCGTACGGAAGCCTTCGTAGAGTGGGTATTATACTGGCTGCGATGTGCTGTATTTTCTCCAGCTTTTCCGTGCCCCACTGGGTTATCGAATGTTAAGCTGGGACGCCGTATTCAAGGATTGGTCTGATGAGTGAGGAGCGGTTTCTTCAGACCATGTGGAGAAACTGCGTCGTAATGCCCAGAGCATGCGAAGTCATGCACGGTACAATTTTTCTGTATTTTCTAGTGATCTCATATCACGTCGCGAGAGCACTCCTAAGTCTCTGACAGACGTGTTGGGGTGGGACAACTGGCCGTCCAAGGTGTATGATCGAGTGGCTGCACGCCTGGTAATACTGATGAACTCCCAGTTGGTTGCGTTAACAGGGAGTTGCATTTCAGTGGACATGTTGACAGTCGACCTAAGTGATGCTGGAGGCGATCGCAATCGTCCTGACTCTCAATGATCCTGCAGATTTTCAAACCATCTACAAACAGGGCGTATGGTGACTGATGCTGCTGTGGGAGATCGTTGATATGAATAAGAAACAACACCGGCCCAAGTACAGCTCCCTGAGGCACGCCAATGGTCGATGGGAACCAGTCTGTCCGGTAGTCAGTGACCTGTAATCTAAACTTCTGTCCTACAATAAACTCGTGTAACCACTGAAGTAGTGAGCCACCGATTCCGTAGGTCCTCAGTTTACGAAGGAGTACTTGGTGACTCGCTCTGTCAAACGCTTTACTAAAGTCGACGTACACCACGACAACATTCTTCCGTTCGTTGAGAGCTCTTACCCACTGGTGGTTTGCGTACCTCAAGTTGGTGATGCAGGATCGCCCTTTCGTGAAGCCGTGTTGCGCTGGAGTCAATACGTCCGTTGATTCGAAGAACGACAGCAGACACTGTTCCACAAGCTTCTCGAGAACTCTGGACTATATCGAAGTCAAATATATCGGTCTAGTTCTCTACTTTACTCGGATCACCACGCTTTGAAAGCGATCTCACTATCGAGCATTTCCAGTTGTTGGGGACAGCTTTCAGACAGTGATTTATTGATTAAGTTTATGAGATTAGGTTTGGTGAGATAACATTCGATATGGACTTAAGTATTAGTGGGTGAAGTCCGTCTGGTCCGAAAGGTTTCGCACCATCGAGGTTGACGAGTAGCTGATACATATCGAATGCATCACATTGTAGGCTGTCGAGCAAGACTGGCGCAACCTATGCCGGTACTAGAACAGCCACTGGTCTAATAGAAAATGCGGTGAGGAACTGCGAAGTAGGGCGTCCGCGCGCTCCGTGCTTGAAACAAGCTACTGTCCGTTCAGGCTCCCAAAGACCGGTAGGTCGCCCGCAGGTTCCAGTTGACGTATAAAGTAGGCAAATATTCTCTCGGGGGTGGTGGCCGAGGCTGATAGCTCCTCTTGGAACTGCCGGCATTTCTTGATTGCGGCGTTACATAGGTTACGCTATCTCTTGTACACCGTGTAATCTACATCACAACCAGAAATGACGTAACTATCTAAAAGTTTGCAACGCCGTTGTGCTAACTATTCAGATTCCATCTCAAACAAAAGGGGCTGACAGGTCCGACTTTTGAATACTTCAGAGAAACGAACCGAATACAAAGCGAGTTACGATACCCCTACATTAATGACCAACATGCCTCAAGCGACGCATCCTGTGGTAGTGTCCAACAACTCTAATTTGCGGTTTAGACGAGCCAAGTAAAGTCCGCCTTGCAATAGTGAAATGTCGCCCTCCGTTGGTTCTAATACGGTAACGGCAGCTCTATGATTGCACATAAAAATGAAGTAGTCACAGTTTGTCCATAGCAATGAGGCTGGAGCTCACCGTGGTGCGATGATTTGCGTGTTTCAGAGATCCATTGACCTATGCTGGGTGGTGCTTTTGCACCTTCAGAGCCACTCATACCAGATTGGTCAATGATTAGAGGCCAGATAAACTTAGCCTCCTGGTCCTCCAGGTTGGGGGTTTGGAATGAGGGTGGCACATTATTCCTTAAAACGTACTCCTTGTATACCAACGCCAAACCCACTGCCTTGCGGTCAGGTTTTTGAACCAAAGGCTTTGGTTGAGAACCCTACTCGTCTAGGCCTGGGCAACCTGACAGTATCCTGCCCACGCAATACAATGAATTTCTCTTCAAACAGTTTCTTGACGCTCTGATCACCGCAGAGGATAATCAACGGTGCCATATCTGCTGCATCGAGCAGGGTGGATAGGGGTTTAGGTGCTACTGCTCAAACCTAGCCATCTTCTTATTCCTCATATTACACTTCTCACTTTTACCGTCCCGTTCCAGCTTCACTTTCATCCCCTTGTTTTCAACCCCCAACCCAATTCTTCGCCCTCCCCAACTTGATTTGATAGGCCTCTACCCATTAGTTTCCATCATCATCATCATCATACACGCCAGCCTGAGGTGAGGAACACCTCAGCTACTGTGCCGCAAAACATAGAAAAAGGAGAGAAAAAAAGAATACAACTGGGGCAAGCCGGCTGAGCTACCGGTAAGCTACCAGCCGGCTACTATGCATCAAAAAAATTACTATGCAAAATTATATAAAGCTAAATAATGAGATCGTGGTTGGAGGGGGAGGCTAAGAGGGATGGGGTGGGACAAAGAAACTCAAGCACGAACGCCACTGAGGTCGGCTTCTTACCATATCAGCAAGTGTGTCCAACCAAACGTGTTCATCGTCTTTTGGACCTCAACCAGAGAGCCGAGAGGCTCCAACCGAGGCCAGCTTTGAAGTGAGGGACTTGATTCCTCTTGACCCAGTCATCGCTTGGCCATCCCTCCTCTTCTTCCATCCACACCCCGGGCGATCGAACAACGCACGTCGCGGGAGTC